ATGATTTCATGTCACCTTTTTTGATGGCTTATTAATTGTGCCTCTGTCATTTTAGTGGTTGCTTCAGGATTTATAGTATGGATCTTTAACTTTTAAGTCTACTTTTAATTAATATGTCACTGTCATCAAGAGTATGTGATCCTTACAACAGGATTCTTTCATTTTCCCTCTCCTAGTGTTTGTTTTATTGTTGTCAGATGTTTAAGTTTTACATAAATTATAAAACCCACAATACATTGTATAGATTTGGGCTTTATACAGTCCATTATATCCTAAAGAGATTTGAAAACAGTAAGAAATAAAGTCAATATTATGTTTGCAAAATGTATTCATGTTGTATGTGATTGTGGTTTATTTTTCTTTTGATAGCATTCCAATGTATAAATGTACTGTAATTTATACATTTTATTGCTGAACAACCTTTATGTTTCCAGTTTTTCATAGTTAGGAATAATGCGACTGTGAATATCCTTGTACATGTATTTTGATGCCCATGTACCTGAGGAGATTTGTGGGGTCAAAGAGGGTGCATATCTTCATTATTATTAGATGATGGCAAATTGTCTTCCTAAGTGGTTGTACCAGCCCTGGCCAGTGTGCCTCAGCAGTTAGAGTGTCGGCCTGAGGACCCAAGGGTCTGAGGATCAATTCCTGGTCAAGGGCAGGTACGTAGGTTTGCGGGTTTGATCCTTGGCTCCCATCTGGGTCATGTGGGAGGTAACCAGTTGATGTTACATTGTTTCTCTCTTTCATTCTCTCTCTCTCCCCCCCTTCCTCCCTTCCACTCTATCTAAAAAATAATCAATAGAAAAATATCCTCAGGTGAGGATTAACAAAGTGGCTGTATCAGTCTGCTCCTCCTCATATGTGACAGTTTTCATTGTCAAATCTACACACCTGGCCAGTGTGGCTCAGTGGTTGAGCATCAACCCATGCACCAAGAGGTCACTGGTTCGATTCCTGGCCAGGGCACATGCCCAGGTTGTGGGCCCGATCCCCAGTGGGGGGCATGTAGGAGGCAGCCAATCGATGTTCTCTCTCATCAATGTCTCTATCTCTCTTTCCCTCTCCCTTCCTCTCTCTCTAAAATTAATAAAGAAAAATAATTTTGAAAAAAAATCTGTTACATGATAGGTGTTGTGAGGTTGTACAGTGCACAACCTGAACATTCGTATGTGAGAAGCTAGAGCTCAAATACCTTTCCATATGCTTATTTTTTTAAATGACTGTTTAAGTCTTTTGCCTGTTTTATTAAGTTGTTTGTCTTTCTTACTGATTTGTAGTTATTTTTTATATATTCTGGATAATAGTTCTTTGTTGGTTAAATTTATTGCAAATATTCTCCCCAAATCTTAGCTTGCCTTTTTACTCTCTTATGGTGTCTTTTTTGTTGTTGTTGTTGTTACTCCTCACCTGAGGATATATTAGATAGAGTGGAAAGAAGGGAGGGAAAGAGAGGAGAGAAACATTCATGTGAGAGAGACACATCAGTTGGTTGCCTCCCACATAACCTTGACCTGAGCCGGGAATCGAACCTGCAACCCAGGTACATGCCCTTGACTGGAATCGAAATCACAACCCTTCAGTCCACACACCGACACTCTGACGGCTGAGCCAAACTGGTCAGGGCTTATGGTGTTTTTGGTTGGAGCTGTGTCTAATACACAGGGTAACTTTATACAAATTACAAGAAGGCTTCCTCTCTGATGGCTCTGCAAGTGCAGCAGCAGCTCGACTTTACCAAATGTTCTGACCTTTAATATAACCAAATGGATCACCTTTTCCCTTTATTTAGTCAAATTTATAACATTATTTTTCCTTTCCTTTATAGAAAGATTAGTGCTTCTTGTGTTCTCTTTAAAAAGGCTCATTATCCCAATGTCATGAAGATATATGTCTTTATTATCTTGTAAAAGCTTTACAGTTTGGACTTGAACATCAAGATGTGTCTTTCTTTAATATTTCCAATAACTAGTTCCCAAATGTAATGCACACCATGTAGTATGTTATGCACAGCCTCTGCTGAGGTGAGATAATACAGAGCCCTCACCACCATTTCAGCAAGTTCCTCTGGCTCAGTACATCACATTCCCCTTGTCTTTGCTCTCAGGTTGGCTGCTTTAGGTTTCTGGGTGGCTTTGTGATTCCCTTAGCCTTCCCTGAGGGGGTGTAGAGGGCAGAAGGGGCCACACTGTAAAATATGCACACTTTTGCCCTTTCCTCTTTCTCGTCGTCCATCTTGCTAGTAATTGGACATTTCCCCCATTTTGCAAAGAGAATAGTTCCACCTACTCTTAACATTTTTTTTAACCTTTAATTTTGAAAGGATTTCAGACTTAAAAAATATTGCAACCACAGCACAAAAAATTCCTGTGGACCCTACACGCAGATTCACCAAGGTTAGCATCTTACATAACCACAGTGCCATGATCAAAACCAGCAAATCAATATTGACACATTACTATTGGGTAATTTACAGATGTCCAATTTCTGACAAATGTTCAACGTCCCCTTTCTGACCCAGGATCCAATCCAGGACTGCATGTTTGCATCTCGTTTTCATGTTTCCCTCCTTTAGTGTAGAACTTCAGCTTTTCCTGTCTTTCAGGACCATAACACTTTGGAAGAGTACCCTCAAGTTGTCTTGTCCAGCACCCCTCATTGTAGGTTGGTTTCCTGTTTCCTCTTAAGTTCAGGTTATGCAGGTTTCTGAGATGTGATATTGTGCCCTTCTCAGTACATCATGTCATTGGATGCACCATATCACTTAGTGCTGGGGATGTTGTCTATCATTTGCTTAGGAGACCTCCATGTTTCTCAGTTGTGAAGGGAATACTCTGAGACTCTATGTATATCTTGTTTCGCATCATATCGTTGTGTTGTTGTTAATCCTCACCTGACTATATTTTTTCCATTGATTTTTAGAGAGCGTGAAAGGGAGGGAGGGGCAGAGAGAGAAAAACAGCGATGTGAGAGAGACACACTGATTGGCTACCTCCTGCATGCCGACTGGGGCAGGGGATCGAACCTGCGACCTAGGTATGTGCCCTTGACTGGGAATCGAACCCATGGTCCTTTAGTGCATGGGCAGATGCTCTAACCACTGAGCAACACCGGCCAGGGCTCTCATCATATTTTTTCCCACTAATTTTAGCATACATCAATCATTCTGGCTTGAAATGTTTATTACTGTGATGTTTGACAAATGGCAATTTTCTACCTCTATTATTCCTTCTACATTTATTAGTTGGAATTTGAATGTAAGGAAGAGTTTCTATCTATCTATCTATCTATCTATCTATCTATCTATCTATCTATCATCTATATATATAAATCAGTATAGATTTTGGGATTCATATTCTAAAGGTTATCATCTACTATTATCTTTACTTTGTTGCTCAAATTGCCCCTGACTTGGCTACTAGAAACCCCTGCTGTCCTTTTGACACGTCCCCATCACTTTGAGCACTTCCTTACTTTGTGGCTCTGTGAGGTAATCCAGGATCATCTTGTATTTTTCATACTTCAGCCCTAGAATCAGCCATTTCCCCATGAATCCCTGATTCTTTTACTGAAGAGTGGTATTCATTGGAATGGACCCTGTGCGCTCACTGTTCACATCTACCTCCAAGCACTTGTCAATGTTCTTGCTCAAACAATGACTTTCCTATTAAAAGAATAATGTTTTCTCACTACCTTGCTCTGATATCTTTAAAATACAGCTTCTACCCTTAAGAACTCATCATTAAGCAGTTAAAAAGACATGTATCCAATATATATTAAAGCAATGTGATAAAGGAAGAAAACTTTTATTGTAGACATACTATGTATGAACCATTGTTTAGTCATTTTGTCAGTTGCCTCTTGTCACAAAATTGCTGCATAGCAAACAGTCACAGAAACTCAGTTTGCATTTGTTGTTCACACATTCGGGTGGTTAACTAGGTGGCTCTGCTGACTTCTCTTGGGCTTGCTCACACATTGAAGGACTAGCTGGTTATCAGTTTATCTAGTTAGCATTTGTGGGATGGCTGGGGCAGCTCAGCTCTGCTAAATTTATCTTTTGTTCCTCCAGCAGGCTAGCCCAAGCATGTTCTCCTGGTTACAGCAGAGCTGCAAGGACACAAGTGGAGATACTATGAAAGAAAAGCTACAGCTGGACAGTAGTTAAAGTGGTAAAAACAAATTTAATTCAGTACTGTTGCAATAAGGGAAAAGAGACCTCAGTATAGAACTGGGCGCAACTCCAAATACAGCATGAGCAAGAGGGAATCTATAACCAGGGAGCAGGGTAGGGGTCAATGGATGAAAAATTACTAAGAGAAAACATCAGGGATAACAGGATCTGGCTGAACTAACCTAACAGGATTCTTTGCTGAAGACAGGCTGGGTGACAAGATCAATCTCAAAGCCAATGCTGCATATTTTAGATTATATAGCACCCCACTCCTGGTGCCCATTTCTGTATCACTTGCCCATTCTGTTCCTTTGGCCTAGAATGCCTTTTCTTCTATCTCCGTCCTCTCCAGCAAAAACTTTATCTTATCCTTTAAGCACAACTCAAATTCACCTTCTGTTAGTGATTGTCCCTCCTCAATGTTCTCACAGAATTTTGTACATAAAGCTATTATTATAAAGACAATACACGTCTTTACAGCTTGCTAGACTGGGACCTCCTTCAGGTGAGAGATCAAATTTTTTTCCTTTCTTTGCAATCATGGGGTTAGCATAATGTTTGTACAATAAATATCTGATGAATGAATGGGGGTGAATGTATCGATGAAAGCCACATGTGGAAAGAAGAGGAGAAAATGTAGAAGCTGGAGGCAGAAGCTGACTTTGTAGTTGGTTACTCAACTGAGTAGATGTTTTTCAGAAAATGGCTAAAAGACTCTCGAAGATGAAGACAGATAGTCAAAGCCAAAATGCAGGGAGGACTCACCTGCCCATTTACCTACTTGACAGTGAGAGTGATTATAGGACCCATAGCTTCTAGAGAATCAGGCAGGAAGCTCCCTATGTGAGGGCAGGGACTGGGGCTTTTCAGCAGAGACCTGCAGCTTTGCCCTTTGGAACAGAATTCCCAGGTGCTGCCTGATTTCCTTGGTCCTGGCCCCGTAGATGATGGGGTTGACCAGACATGGGAGCAGCAAGTAGAAGGCGCTGAGCAAGTTGTGTACATCCTGGGAGGCAGTGCGGGCCACACGGTAGACGATGGATGAGGACATGGTAGAGGAGTAGACGGTAAAGATGACCAGCAGATGGGAGCCACAGGTATTCAGGGCCTTGGAACGTGCTCTGCCTGATGAAATTCGAAATGCGGCATAGATGATGCGAGAGTAGGAGACTCCAAGTAGCAGCATGTCCAGGACTCTGTTGAAGATGCGAAGAGTAAGCCCCACAGTCTTGTTTAGGGAGATGTCCCCACAGGAGAGCCTCATCAGGGCCATGTGCTCACAGGCAAAGTGGTGGATCTTATCTGAGCGACAGAAGTGAACCCGGGAGGCCAGCCCCACCACTGGAGAAACAATGCCTATACTCCTGACAACTGCCACCCCCACCAGGCCAGCCAGCAACCGGCCTGTCACTATCTCAGGGTAGCGGAGTGGGTTGCAGATGGCAACATAGCGATCCAGGGCCATGACCAGGAGGATGCTGCAGTCAAAGGCAATGAGGAAGTAGATGCAGAACATCTGGACCAGACAGTGAGCTAGGGAGATGCGGTTGAAGCGGGTGGAGAAGCTGAACAGCATGGGGGGCACCACGGTGGTGGTGGCACAGATGTTGACAGCCAGGAGCAGGGCGATGAGCTGGTACATGGGCTGGTGCAGGCTCCGTTGGGCCACCACAGTGTGGATGACCAGGGCATTGGCAGAGACAATCATCAGGTAGAGACTGAGGAAGGGGAGCACCAGGAATGCGCGGGTTTCCTGCAGCCCCGGGAAGCCCACTAGGAGGAAGCTGGTGTAGGACAAGTTGGAGCTGCTTTTGCTCCAAGCTGACATCTTCCCTGGGGAGCAGGATGGCTCTGGGAAGACAAGAGGGGCAGGAGCCTGGTTTTTGTATCTTAGTCCCTACCAGGGCCTGCCCCAGCCTTACCAGGCTTTGATCTCCATGAGTCTCCAATATTCTTAGGGAAAAAATGAGAAGTTAAGTGATATATATATATTTTAATTATTATTTTTTTTATTTACTTTTTTGGTATGTGCCCCTAGTGGGAACCGAACCCAGGACTCTCTGGTCCGCAGGCCGACGCTCCAACCGCTAAGCCAAACCGGCCAGGGCTAAGTGTCATATTTTAATGAGAAATGTATCTTTCAACAAACCTTTGCCTGTGTTTCAAATAACTCCCTCAGGGTAGATTTTGGATGTAGAATTGTTAGGTCAAATGATATGAACATTTTTGAGAGTGCCAAGTAGATTTCCAAGAAATTTGTATCAATCTTGTCACTGAATCACTGGTGCTAATATTAAATTGCCATGATTAAAAAAAGTATTTTAGTAATTTGATGGTTGAAAAATATCTCATTTTATTTTATTTATTTATTATTATTATTTTTTTATTCTCGCTCGAGGATATTTTTGCATTTATCTTCAGATAGAGCGGGAGAGGAGAAGGAGGAAGAGAGAGAGAGAAACATTGACTGGTTGCCACCCGCACAACCTCATCTGGGGCTGGGGACGAACTGCAACCGAGGTTTGTGCCCTCAGTGGGAATCAAACCTGGGCCTTTCTGGTCTGCAGGCCAATGCTCTAACCGCTGAGCCAAACCCGCCAGGGCTCATTTTATTTTATTTTATGTTTTGTATTAAATGTATTGCAGTGATATTGGTTAATAGGACCATGTAGGTTTCAAATGTACATTTTTGTGATATAAGATCATTGCAGTGTGTGCCCACCATTTTAACTTGCATGTTCTTTGTGAATTTTCTGTTTATGTACTTTCCCATGTACAACTGGGGACTGTTTCTCTCAGCAATTTAAATATTAAAGCCATTATCCCTTTTTATCCATTAAAACAGATTTTACAAATCATGTTACTATTTTAATTTTGTTTATGTTATTAAAAATAAGAGTTTTAAATTTATAAAATTAAATCTATTGATATTATTTATTGGTTTCAAGCTTAGTAAGTCCTTCTTCATTCAAAGATCATAAAGATAGTATACTATATTTGTTCTTTATAATATAGTATGCTTTTTTATGTTAAGTTTTGAGCCACATGAAATTCAATTTGATATGTGACATGAAATGATCATCTAACTTGATATTTCCCCCCAAATTGCTAAATAATTGTTTTTTTCCATTCATCTATTTTTTTTTTTTTTTTATCCTCACCCGAGGACATTTTTCCATTTTTTGTTCAGATAGAGCGGGAGGGAGAGAGAGGAAGAGAGAGAGAGAGAGAAACATCGATGTGAAGGGACACATCGAGTGGCTGCCACCCGCACGACCAACCAGGGCCGGGGACAAACTGCAACCGACGTACGTGCCCTTACCGGGAACCGAACCCGGGTCTCTCTGTACCGCAGGCCGACGCTCCAACCGCTGAGCCAAACCGGCCAGGGCCATTCATCTATTTTTTAATTAATTTATTTTTGCTACAGATGTTTCTCCTTTTACCCCCTGGACACCCTCCTCCCTATCCCCCCTCCCCCTCCCCCCCAAGCATTGTTGTCTATGTCTATTGGTTACGCATACATGCATATGAATTCTTTGGTTCATCTCATCCATCTCCCCACTCCCCTCCTCTGAGCTTGGTCAGTCTGAACTGTACTCCTTTCTATGTCTCTGGGTCTATTTTGTTCATTAGCCTTTTCTGTTCATTATATTCCACAAATAAGTGAGATCATGTGGTACAGTGATACCTCGGTTCTCGAACGCCTTGACTTTCGACCAAATCGATATTCGACCAGGAGATTCGAGAAACTTTTGTCTTGGAATCCGAACAAATATTTGGAACTCGAACTTCCGAGATGAGCCGAGTTGAGCCGAATGGCGTTCATTCGGCCCAGCGCGCCTTGCTTGCGTCATCAGTGTGAGTGCAGAGAGAGTCACGCTTTGTGGAGAGAGTCACGCTTTACACTGAATTTAACCCTTAGACATGGGTCCAAAGAAAGCCAGAAGTGGTAATGCAGACAAAGGTAAGCGGAAAGCTGTGAGAACAACTATTGAGCTGAAGAAAGAAATCATTGCCAAATATGAACAGGGCACACGTGTTTCGGATCTGTCTGCTGAGTATGGCGTGCCAAAATCAACCATCTCTACTTTCCTTAAGAATAAAGCTGTTTTTCTACATATTATATACAAGTTAGGCCAGTAAATAGGCATTTTCTGGGGCTTGGAACGAATTAATCCAGTTTCCATTATTTCCTATTGGTTTCATTGCTTCGGTTCTCGAACAATTTGGTTCTCGACCGTCCTCCTGGAACGAATAATTCGAGAACCGAGGTATCACTGTATTTGTCTTTCTTTGACTGGCTTATTTCTCTTAGCATAATACTCTTCAGGTCCCTCCATGTCATCTCAAAAAATAAGAGATCCATTTTTCTTACAGCTAAATAATTGTTTTTGTTCCATTTTCTCTACTGCTTTGTGTTACTATCTTTATCATAGATTAAGTTCTCATATGTGATGGGGTTGTTTTATAGGTAGTGATGTTCTCTTTGCTCTTGTGCCAATACCATATTATTATTAGTAGTATTAATTTTATTTTAATCCTCACCTGAGGATATGTTTGTAAGGACAGAAACCAGGCTTTTCTTTTTTGTTATGATTTTTCCACAGTTTATAAGAAGCACTTGGTAATTAAATGCGGAGATTGCTGACATCTCCACATTCAAACCAACTTTCTACTCAAACAATAAATAGCTAAGGGCTGTGCTTTCCTCCACTCCCCCTCCCTGCTGTTTTAACAACTCTGGGATAATTCACACTGAAGAGTGTCTGATAAATGGAAAGTTCTCTTCCCCTCCCCTTCAAACAAATCTCTCTTTTGGAACTTCTGTAACCCCTTCAGATGAGACTCCCCCTTTTCACACTCTGTAACTTCTTTGCTCCAAAGCATATTTTACATACTAGAGAAGATGCTGATAAAAACATCTCCTTAATGCCACTGCCAACTGTCTCCTGGAAAGCAAACAAACTGTAACTTCTCAAGACAATCCGTGGCATCTGCTCAACTTTAACACAATCCCTTCCCTGCCCCAATTGCCCTTTACTCCCTAAAGCCATCAATAAAAGTGCAATTCTCTTTCTTCCCTGCCCTTGTATTGCTGGTCAGTGCATGGGTCCTTTCCCTACTATGGGGAAAGTAAAATAAACTTCCTCCCTTTTCTCTCCCTCTTCTCTCTGTTGTGAATTCTTTTTTTTTTTTTTTTTATCCTCACCTGAGGACATTTTTCCATTTTTTGTTCAGATAGAGTGGGAGGGAGAGAGAGGAAGAGAGAGAGAGAGAAACATCAATGAGAAAGGGACACATCAAGTGGCTGCCACCCTCACGACCAACCAGGGCTGGGGACAAACTGCAACTGAGGTACGCGCTCCTAGTGGGAACTGAACCTGGGTCTCTCTGGATTGCAGGCCGATGCTCTAACCGCTGAGCAAAACTGGCCAGAGCTGTGGTGAATTCTTTCACAAACCCACGTCACTGGCCAAACCCTAACAATGTTTATTGATTTTAGAGAGAGAGAAAGAGAGAAACATCGATGTGAGAGAGAAACATTGATCCGTTGCCTCCTGGACAGTCGTCCCTCTCCACTTCGCACTTCGACTTTCGCGGGTTTACTCTATCGCGGTTATTTCAAATACTACACTACGTATATAAATAAAGAATCCTACTTCGTGGAAATTCATTTATCTTGGTAGTTTCTGGAACTGATTAACTGCAATAAACGAGGGCTGACTCTACATGCCCCAAATGGGGATTGATCCTGCAACCTAGGTATGTGCCCTGACTGGGAATCAAACCTGCAACCTTTTTGGTGTACAGGTCTATGCTCCAACAAACTAAGCCACCTGGCTGAACAATACCATATTATTTTGAAAATAAAAGCTCTTCTGAGATATAATTCACATACTATACAATTAACCCATTTAAAGTGTACAATTCAATGTTTTTTTTTTAGTAAATTCAGAGTTGTACGACTGTCATCACAATCAACATTGTTACCACCCCAAATAGAAATCCTGTACCCATTTGTAGTAGTTCCCCATTTCTCCCAGTTCCCTTAGCACTATACAACCAACCACTAATCTACTTTCTGTGTCAGTGGATTTGCCTACTTTAGAAATTCTTATACATGGAGTCATAGAATATGTGGCCATTTATGGCTGGCTTCTTTCACTTAGCATACTGTTTTTAAGGTTCATTCATGCTATAACATGTATCAGTATGCCATTCCTTTTTAATGACTGAATAATATTCCTTTGTATAGATATATCACATTTTAATGATCCACTCATCAGTTGATGGATATTTGAGTTGTTTCCACTGTTTGGCTATTATTAAAAATGCTACCTAGGAGTGAAATTGTTGGGTACATATGATCAAATCCACAGCCTGGGTATGTGCCCTAATTGGGAATCCAACTGGCAAACTGTCTTTTTTTTTTTTATCCTCACCCGAGGACATTTTTGCATTCATCTTCAGATAGAGTGGAAGGGAGAGAGGGAGGAAGAGAGCAGAGAGAAACATCGATGTGATAGAGACACATTGAGTGGCTGCCACCCACATGACCCCAACCGGGGCCGGGGACAAACTGCAACCAAGGCACGCACCCTCAGAGGAAACTGAAGCCCGGGACTCTCTGGTTCACAGGCCGACACTCTAACCACTGAACCAAACCGGCCAGGGCCCAACTGGCAGACTTTCAGTGCATGAACCAATGCTCAACCAACTGAGCTACACAGCCCAGGGCTATATTTCTAATGACATCTGTACAGGTGTTTTTGTTAAAAAAACATTTTCGTTATTCTCAAGTTTTATTCTTCCAACCATTGGAAT